TATAATTGTGGGGGGGGGGGGAGAAACAGAAAGCCAGCAGTTGCAATCACTGCTTTTAATGGGATTAACTAAGGGATTGCTTAGTCAAGCTGCATATGCAAGAAGTATTTTGGAATTTAACGAAGGGATGAAAACTTGCAGCCTTATTGCACGACTGTAGGATTACACTTGGATTACCCACACTGTAGTTGGAGAGAGAACGCTAAAATGTCTACACAAAAGTGGAAACGGCGAAACTGAATGTGTCCAACTGGTGTATACATTTTAGTATGCATTTGATTCACAACAGTGCTCCTGCCTTATTTCAGAGTGGAAAAAATGACAGTCAAACACTAACAACAATAACTAGCTTTTAGGTTGTCACGCCCACATCCAAATATGGCTCCACCCGTTTTGCATAACAGGCTTAGTAATTTACATACTGGCTTAGTATCACTTGCTCTGAAACCTAATTTAGCAAAGATTTATCGGCAATGAACTAGATCTCCGTCCAGCTTTTGAAAACTTGTTTTATGGGACTGAAAAGAAATGCAATCAGTTCCATCTTTCGTCCATTTTTTGCAGGTATTTTTAGGACACAATCATTGTGTAGATTGAGTTAAATGAGGGATGTTGTGTTGTATATTGCATTGCTAGTTTGTGTAAGAAATGCATGCGGTGATGATGATGATGATATTCAGTAACTAGTTATATGCATTGCAGTGAACAAAGAAAGAATGCTAGGAAAACTTCCAGTTCAGCATTTTTCTCTCCCCCCCAATAATTATTGTATCACTGTCTTCTATGACATAATGCAAACTTGCATAACGTTTGCTCATTTTTATTCCTAATGAATCAAGAAAGAACTGGAAGTTATGGATCAACTGGTAATGTACCTTCAACTCCCTTTCCTGAAAGATTAATCTGTTAAATATTAGTCAAGGACTATTTCATAGTGATCAGTAACTTGATTACATTTTAGTCTATTTCTCTCACAAACCATTTGTAAGACTGATTCCCTAGAGTAAAATGTATTTGTCAGCTCTTTAAGAGAACAGGCCTTTGGAAAGTCCAGCTGTGAAGCTGATTACGATTGTAATGGAGCCTTTCCAGTGCTTTTAATTTTACCTAAATATTTATTAGAAAAATGCCGTATTTACATTTCTTCTGTCCTTTTCATTTTCCAGAGGACCACAATTTGACAAATGCAGCTCTCTTATGTGAATTTACAATGATTAGCAAATAATATTTAATTCCAATAACTCGACTGGTATTTCCGAACAGCTGTTTAGTTCTGTCTAGTGCAATCATTTCAGCTTCTGTTGATCACTGCGGTCCTCACATCTTAAGTGTCGGCTGGTATGTAAGTCTAGTTGTTTTATTTGCAAGTCTGGGAACTCAAAATTATTTTCAGCTGCAATCAGATGGCCAGTTATTTGGTTTTGTTTTTCATTTCCTATACTTCCTTCCTTCTTTTCTTGTACCATGCTTTAGCGTGATCTAATAAATTTGGTATCAAGCTGCTGTCCACCTTGAAAATGCCAGTTTAAGATGTCTCTTCATTCTACGATGCTTGTATTAAGATTGTAATTACTATTAAAAGAATATTATATTAAATGTATATACATTATTTACAGTTTCTAGTTCTGTGTGGTTTAAAATGTTTGTTTCAGATAAAGTTTAAGTATGAAACATTTTGCATTCTTTAGGCTTTCCAAGGTAGGAAAACAATTGTATGACAGAGGTATCACTATGAACACTGAGGATAAATGTTTTCCTCTGGTCTGATTCAACAAATGTCAGTTCAGGAATGTTTTTCCTCTTTGATTAGCACATTCTCAAGGGGAGGCAAGAACAAAAAGCAGCTGGAACTATGAAAAACGTGACATAATTTCACACAATCTCTACCTTAATAAATACAAAGCTATTTCAGAGGTGGAAAACAATGCAAGTTTCTCTTAGACAGGATGAGTAAGGCACCAGTGGTCTGATAGCCTAGTGTTTCACTTCTCTCTGTCTCCTTTTTGTTATCAGGTTTGCACAAATTGGTAAACAAGGAAGCCGTCGTCTCACTCTCTTCCTCTCTTTCTTTCAGCTCTTCATCCTTCTCTTCACAGTCTACTGATCTCCACATACCACTACAAGGTTCAGCAATTATCTTGCTTTGTTGTAGTGTCTCCACCTTCCTATCAGCTCCATGAGCAGTTTATTTTCTCATTGTTTTCCCACTTGTATCTCAGCATCCACTTGATTATAGACCTACTGTGTACTACGTTGCCCTTTTGCTCCTTTAGATTACAGCTAGTCTGCGTTGCCCTCTCTCCCTCCCTCCACTTGCCTCCCCTCCTTTTCCCCTAGAAGCAATATATTGTTTTGGTGCTCTTTTGTCCTCCGGAGTTGGTCCTTGTGCAGTTGGTGGCCACCTACTGGTTAATTTAACCACTTCACTCTACATTGTGACTTATTTCCAACATAATTTCAGCATCCGAGTTGCTGCTTTTTTTTTTTTTTACTTTAGCTTTTTTATAATATTATGACTGAATATCTTCAAATTGTGACTTCATATAGTATCTCGCATTGTGACTTTCTATCTTGTTACCCCTCCCCATTGAAATGTAATTATTTGATCTTTCCTGTAGATTACACTATATAATCTGCTTTCGCCTAGAAAAATAGTCCATTACATTGTTGAAAACAATTAGCCTAGTCACAAGATAAACACTATAATATATTATTATTATTAATATGCAAACCAATTTGCTTGATCTATAGGCATACAACTTATTTCGTCTGAGTGTGACATGACTTCGTTTGAGTTGTCTCTATTCCAGCTTTTTTTCTTCCTCTCTGTCTCTCACGAGTTTCTTGTTCTTCCGAACCATCTTTTCGTTTTCTTTAACAAATGTATAGGAGCTCAAGAGTGAAACTTTCTATTTTGGGTAACAATCTTGAGACTTCTCATTAATTACTGCGGAGTGATAGAGAGACTTGAAAGTAACACCGGTTCCTAGACGAATGGTGATTCTGAAAATCTGCAGTTGACCAGTAAGTCATAGAGAGACATAATTTCCCATTTATTTTAAAAAATGAAATCATGCTATGGGAATTATCAGCGCCTCGTATTGACGAAAACAGAGTCTAACATGTGCTCTCTCACCACAAGGTGGCGTAAACAAGGCATTTGCACAGCACTTCATGGTGATTTCTTAAATAGAATAATACACAGATGAATGGTTAATATTGATGCATTTCTTAACATTTCACTTTGTGTCATTGATCAGCATAAATTAGATCAGTGTTATTTTAGTATCATACTAAAATAGATACCAAAGAGCATTTAAAAGAGATACTAAAAGTTTTTATTCATATTTTGAATTTATATATTTTTTTTCATTTTCCATTTTAAGTTTACCTGGCGTCTTAGTAATTGTTTTTTTTTTTTTTTTTTTTTTTTAAAAACCAAATATGTCTATACACATCTATAAACCAATCTCTATATAGTTTTTTTTTTATTAATTTTTGTTTACGTCTTAGTTTATTTTAGTACATCAAATCAGAATTAAAGAAAATGCTAAATGTTTCCTTTGAAACTAGCTGAAATAAAATAAGGTTAAGTTTCTTTTTTTACTGTGCTTGAGTTAATGCTTATGTCAAGTATGGAAAAACCTTTTTATGATTTCAGTTTTAGTTAATTATAATAACCCTGGTACAGATTATTTTTCGTTCCTGTATACACATCACCAAATGTATATTAAGAAACAACTGGTGGCCTTGAGTGTTAGGACAATTGTTGTCATCGGTTATGTTTCACCTGTTTTACAGGAAGATTCCTCCTTTTTACCTTTTACAAGTTGGTGGGGGGGAGGTGTGTGTTTTACTTTCCTGTAGCTATGCATGAAAGGAGCCGTATGTGTATTATAAACCAAGATGTGTGAAAGCACACCTGTCAGTCGCCCAGGTGAACTCAGGGAAACAGCCTAAAGCAGTGATGGCTCGTTTGGATTTGAACTTCTTACTCATGTCTGTGCTGGTAGGGGTCACAGAAGCTTCTCTGGCACAATTCCGCCACCAAGGAGCCATGGCCCATGGAGACATCATCATTGGAGGTCTTTTCTCCGTCCACGAGGCAGTAGAGGCAGTGAACTACACTGGCTTAAACAGCTTCTCTTCTCCTCAGCGTCCAAACTGCAGCAGGTGAGCGTTCATTGTGGAGAATCCAGTCATGAAGGTCATACAAAAAAATGACTGAACTTATCTTTTTTTTTTTTTTTGTCATTGGATAATATAGTGAATTTATTTATGTTGGATATTAAATATTTGTTAATTGGTAATTTATGGGCACTACAGTAACATTTAGATTTACAGGGTAAAAAAATATTTTTACAGTTAGACTCAAAATTGGGGCAGAAGGCTTACAGTGACATGATGTTGCTGGTGTTTTTATTATTTAATTTAATAATTATAATTTATTACTTAATAGTTATTACAGTTATTATATATATATTAATAGTTATTTATAGTTATAGTTACTGAATTAAATGCTAAATTATTTATCATAACCTTTAGGTAATTATTCAGTATTGTCCATAAGTCTTACTGTGTCTCCAGATTCTACACAAAAGGTCTAAATCAGGCTCTAGCTATGATTCATGCTGTGGAAATGGCAAACAGATCTCCCATGCTGAGCAGTTTGAACATTACTCTTGGATATCGCATCTATGACACATGTTCTGATGTCACGACTGCACTTTGGGCTGTCCAAGATCTCACACAGCCGTTCTCAGACTGTGACTCACCAACAAACTCTTCTCAACCTGTCCAGCCGTTAATGGCGGTAATTGGGCCCTCTTCTTCTGAGATCTCCATCGCAGTTGCCAGGGAACTCAACCTTCTGTTGATTCCACAGGTAAGTTCTCCATGAAGTAATTTGGCAAAGGGATCTCATTATAATATCACCGCCCCTTAATCTGTAAGGTTCCACCCATAGCGCCGTCATTTTGATTTCGCAAGCGACAACGGTGTAATGCCATGGCGAAAGTTTGAGCAAAACATGCTAACTGTTCTGCCTTTGGCTGCACAGACGAGCACAGAACACTGTTTAGAGTCCCAGCCTCAGAGGAGACAAGAGAGCAGTGGATTTATTGATTTATTTAATGTATATTGCTGCTAAAGTTCTAAAGATGCAGATCTAAAATAAACATGCAATTTATTTCCCAGCTGTTTATCTTCACAGACATAACCGACTGTTTTTGTAACTCGTGTGTTTTTAACGTAAACTTGTGTGTGAATGAGAACTTAGTTTAGTACTCACATGCTGTGACAGCCGCTTTCTGTCCGTGTGCTTCGGATGTGTGCACTCAGAAAACTGTATATCAGAAGTTTAAACTAATAAAAAACACATGATTTCAGCGCGATAAACATGATAATCAGAACCAAAACAGATGTTTTTTAGCAGGTCCAAGCTGTAATGGCGCAGCTCTATTCTGAAAAAGGTGGCGGGGAGCAGCAGCTCATTTGCATTTAAAGAGACAGGCCCGAAAAACAGCGTGTTTCTGCTTCCACTCAAAATAGGCATTTTCAAAATGATATAATAAATGATCTGTGGAGTATTTTGAGCTGAAACTTTATAGACACATTCTGGGGACACCAGAGACTTATATTACATATTGTAAAAAGGGGCATAATATGTCTCCTTTAAAATAAAGATTCCAAAAGGGTGGTTTTGCAGCAATGCCATAGAAGAATCATTTTTGGTTCCTCAAAGAACCTTTCAGTAAACAGTTCTTAAAAGAACCATTTCTTTTCCTTTGTGTGAAGAACATTTTAATAATCTAAAAAAACCTTTGTTCCACTATAAAGAATGTTTTGTCCAATGGAAATGTTTCATGAATGTTAAAGATTTTTCATGGAGCTATAGATGGCAATAAAAAAAACTTAATTTTTAAGAGTGTAATAAATTTCACCTTTAATTGCTGTCTGTTTATCTGTTGTGCAGATAAGTTATTCATCTACTGCTATGATTCTGAGTGACAAAAGTCGTTTCCCTGCTTTCATGAGGACTGTCCCCAATGATGAGTACCAAACCCATGCCATGGTACAACTTCTGAAGGACAATAAATGGACCTGGATTGGCATTATCATTACAGATGGAGACTATGGGCGTTCTGCCATGGAAAGTTTTGTTAAGCACACTGAAACCGAGGGAATTTGTGTGGCCTTTAAGGCGATCCTACCAGACTCACTAGCACATCAACAAAAATTAAACATCCATATCAACAAGACTGTGGACATCATTGAAAAAAATACCAAGGTTAATGTGGTGGTCTCATTTGCTAAATCATCTCAAATGAAGTTGCTATTTCAGGGCCTGCGTAGTAGGAATGTTTCAAGTAATAAAGTATGGGTGGCCAGCGATAACTGGTCAACAGCTAAACATATTCTGAAAGACGTAAACTTCTCAGATATTGGAAATGTATTGGGCTTCACCTTCAAGAGTGGAAATGTTACAACTTTTCATCAATACCTAACAGATCTACAGTTTGAAAGTGAAGCTGAGCTGAAAAATTCATTCCTGGAGGAATTTTTAAAACAGCCTGATATAGGAAATGCTGCAAAAGCAGCACAGAACCTGATCAAAAACACATATTCGGACATG